ACAGACTTCCCACTGAGGTGCCTTGATACAGCACTCTGGGAACAGCCCATTCGTTCAGCAATTTCTTTCTGTGTTTTACACTCTTGCTTGAGGGTGTTATTGATGGCCTTCTGGACAGCAGTCAGGTCGGCAGTCTTACCCATGATTGCGGTTTTGAGTAAGGAACAAGGCTGGGAGTTTTTAAAAGCCTCAGGAATCTTTTGCAGGTGTTTAGAGTTAGGTCGTTGATTCAGATGGTTAGGTTAATAGCTTGTTTAGAGAACCTTTTCATGATATGCTAATTTTTTGGGACAGGCATTTTGGGTTTTCATGAGCTGTATGCCATAATCATCAGTATTAAAACAATTAAAGACCTGAAATATTTCAGTTGGTGTGCAATGAATCTGAAATATATGAAAGTTTAATTTTTATCATTACGTTATGGAAAATAATGACCTTAATCACAATATGCTAATTTTTTTAGAAGGACCTGTACCTGATTGGATGAAGGTATCAGAACTTTTTTTCTTCATGTCTTTATTGAAAGAATACAGAACAGTACAATAACATGCAGTACATACAGTAATGTAATAACAGCTACCAGGGGGTTACAAACATTGAGACTCAGAAGACTTATTCAGCAAGTATAACCTGAGTATAACCGCTGGCAGATTGTGTGAGCCGGTTCGACATTAGCAGTGTCTCCATAACTTCTCTGTCTGCCTCTTTTAACACAGAACTTTCTGTTAAATTTCAAAATAAGAGCAACATAAATGGATAGTGGGGACTAGGGGGAGTTAAATGTTTTTTTTTTTTAATATATATACCTAGCCATTACATTAAAAACTTAATTCATTTTGGTTGTTGAATAATGTGAAAATAGTTAAAATTGATTCATAAAGAAAGAAAAATAAAGTAACCAAAAATAATAACAATACTCAAACTGGCTTTGGGACAAAGGATGTTTCCTTTAACTTCACATTTTCTTGTTCAACCTAAAGCAGTCACTGCAGATGAGTGATTGTCAGTTTGTGTAAGATTTCTGCAACTGGAGCAGGTGTTTTTGCTTACTGGTTAACTTCCTCAACTGTCTCAGATTTTAAGAGTCAATCTTACTCCATGTTTCAGCTCCTTTCATAGATCAGATCTCACAGAAGAGCACTTCTAAAGAGCAAATGTTGTTTTTAGCTTTTGTTTTGGGCCATTATCGTTACAGGACTCATGATCTTTAATTGAGACCAGCCGTTTTGACAAATGGGAGCAGGTTTCGCTTCAGATACTTCATATTTCATTGTACCCAGACCACACTCAAGCCAACCTGTGTCAGGTGCAGCCTACAACCTAAGAACAAAAGATAATCTTATTGAGCATGCATCAGGATAAAAGATAATCTTGTGTTTGACAGCAGATATAACGCTGTTTCTTAGAAACCTTCAATTTAATAAGAGCTGATGTAACTTAAAGAACCAGCAAATACAGCTAGCCAGTCAGTGTTTGCCCGTTAGAAACATCTGTTCTTTAGAAACACCCACTTTCAGTCTGCAGAGAACCCCTTCTCAGTTTTTCAGGGGGAAAAAAAGCATAGAATTGTTTTCTTGTACTTAGTTTGCTATTCAATTCATTTTATTTATATAGATCCATATCACAACAAAGTTGTCTCAAGGCACTTTACAGGAACATTCACATACATAGAAAAGCCAATTAGTAAAGTTCTCTTTCTAAGGAAACCAGCAGACATGTATTCCTGTTTCTGTTCAGTGTCCTGAGATGACTTCTGTTGTGACTTGGCGCTATATAAATAAACTGAACTGAATTGAATTTAATTAATTCAAATTTATGTTAGGTTTCCCAGAGTTAAACTTCCTGGTGCAGGATATAAAGTGGCAATTGACTCTACCATGACCTCATACTGAAGATTAAAGGCAGCTTGCACTCTATACAAGAAGTAATTATGTGAATTAAACTGATAGTGCAAGAGAGCATTTTCTGTGCAAAAGGTGCTTTGCTTATTTTTGTACTTTTTCCTAGTACTTGCGTTTTTGTAACATACGTTCTTCACTTCTCACACCAAATTATTAACTTTTCAGAGCTTTCAGTGTTTGCAGCTCAAACACTTTGAAGGCTCTTGACATTTGCAACACTTTCTTCTTGAATATGTTATTACTTAAGTCACTGCATAGTTTCTGTATCAGACTGACTCTTCTGTGTTTGTTTATGGAAAGAGCCAGAGTTTTAAAGGTACTAAAAAAATCTTAAGTGTTTTATTTTTAAGCGGTTGTACTGATAGATAATATGAGGTTTGAATACTTATCCCACAGTTATTAAATGCATCTTATTTACATCTGTCATTCCTTATTTGACCACACGGGGGTGCTAATGTTCATCTAAAGAATGATATGCTTGTTCTTGCATGTACTTTAGAAAAAAACAAACCCCTAATAAATTTACCACCATTGAGTGTTTGTGTTAGGTGGGAGGTGTATTTCCTTGTAAACTGCCTGGTTATCTCTCCAGAATCTTCCATAAAGCTGCAGCAGTCAGGGAAGGCCCTGATGAAACTGTGTTTTGGCAGCAACATGACTCGAGCCTTTTTCTATTTGCAGAGATGACTCACCCGAGGTTGATGTTTACAATCCTCTAAAGCACGAGTGGGACAAAATTAGCCCCATGACCCAGGTTTGTATTTCACACCAGATCCTTATTTCCTGGAGTTCTGTATTTATAATTCTGACATCTCTAATGTCACCAGTAAACAAAATGTCAGGCACTTTTAAGCTGTTCAGTGGGGAATATTGCTGGTTAAAAAAAGTTGTGTTAAAATAAATTAAGGTCAGTTAAGGTAGACCTTTGAATTACATAATTCAATATTTGGTTCTTATTTTCAACTTTATGCATAGGGGAGTAGTGGCGCAGAGGTTAGAGAAGGTGGGCCTGCGATCGGAAGATCACCGGTTCAAGCCCCAGTACCGACAACATCAAAAATGTGGGTGGGGTAGGTGAAGCACCCACACTTGCCCCCATCTTCATTCGTCCCACTCTGGGCCCTTGAGCAACGCCCTTAACTAGGGCATTAACAGAGTACTCGAGTAATCTACACATCGATTGCTAGGACATCTATCGAGGTTAAAAATGTAACGTCGGGTATCCGTAGTGATGTCATATTATGTGACCACCGTATGACCGTAGGGGGCGGTGTTGCACTGTTGCAGGTCACAGAGTATGGTGTAACACCAGGTTCAATCCACCGAACCAGAACCAGTTTTGGTTTAAGTTTCGTTTTTGACATGCTGCATGTTTCTTCACGTTTGCAGTTTAATAATTATAACTAATAGTTTAGTTTTTCCTGTGACTTATTTGCAGTATGATAAATGGTAGGAGCATAATATACACTCCCAATGTTTTGTTGGTCTTTTTTTTGTAAATAATTACATTTTTTTGCGGTTTTATTTATTTATTTAGTTTTGTATCTTGAGATCTATGACGTCATCAAGTTCTACTCGGGTTTTATTGTGTTAATGTCGAGTTTAAAAATTATATACTCGTTCAACCCCTACCCTTAGCCCCCACCATCTGCTCCTCCGGGTGTCCTAGATAGCAGCTCTCTGCTCCACACAGAGGTCTGTGGTAGCTCGGTGGTCTGTGGTTGCGTCAGGAAGGGCATCCGGTGTAAAAATAACAGCCAAGTCTTCGTGCAACTTAGTTTGCTGTGGTGACCCCTAAAGCAAGGAGCAACCAAAAGAAGAAAAAAATATATATTTTTTCAACTTTATTCATGAAATTTAATTTAATTTCTTAAATAAACCAAAAAAGTAGAGGCTAGACTTTTGCATTGTATCATGTTAAACTTTGACTTTAAAGTGTCTTCTTGTTGTTTTGTTGACTTTCCAGCTTCATATTAGTTTGAAAACTCACTTCCTTCTTTAGGTCCATGTTGGAGGCAGCGTGGCGGTCCTGGGCGGTAAGATGTACGTGTCTGGTGGTTATGACAACACGTTTGAACTGTCAGACGTAGTGGAGGCATATAATCCGACCAGCCGCACCTGGGCGCCAGCTGGGCAGCTCCCTCAGCCGACCTTCTGGCACGGCAGCGTCAGCATTTTCCGCCAGTTCATGCCGTTGGTGTCCAGCGCTTTCGAACCCGTTGATCTACCGGAGTCCAACGCCATTCACCTCCACCGGCACCGTCGTCACCAAGCACTTCACAATCGCAACAACAATCTCAACCAGGACCAGGATGTAAACGCAGCACACTGAGTCACTCGTCTCCCATGTCCATCTATGTTTAGTTTACTGACTGTACCTCATCATCTTTAGAGGAGGGACAAAACGTCATGTCCGTCTTCATGTTTTATGATAATCAGCATGCTGGTGCCAAAAAAATATTTTATATTACTGACATTACGTCATGATCCCATACAGGAAGTTGAACATGTTAATGAATAAAGCCTGAGAAAACTGATGGTGGCATCAGTGGAAAACAAAGATACTGCCATGATTCTACAAACTGCTCCAGCACTTTACCTTTCCACAGGCATTTTGGGTCAGAGTTACACAGATGTTGATACATCAGTTAAACTCACTGACTGGGACAAATGGCTGAATCATATCATTGTTTTGGTGGGTTGTGTAAGGTGTATCATGAATCTTTGTGATTCAACAGACATAAACATAAAAACACACCTGCCCGAGCCCCTCGTCTTCCACCTGACTCAACTATCAGACGGGTGAAAGGCATCTGTCCTCCCTGCTGAGAGAAACCAGCTCCAGCAACTCCACTTTAATGTCAGTGCAGTAGGAAAGCTTGCATAGTACTCCTATAGTTGCCTACAAATGAAGGATAAAAAAACACTTAAGTATTCATTTACGTAATGGCCTGCTCTGCTCTCCAACAGTTTCACCTGCTGTGGCGGCATGGCCGGATTAACCATATGGGCAGCTGGGCAACTGCCCAGGGGCCCTGGATCTCTAAAGCCTGGTATCCACAGGTCTGGTTCTTGTTGTAGCCTGTTGTGTCCGGTTCTGGTGGGACCTCTATTTTTCTGTCTCCACATTGCCTATAGTTCCCGTTTAGTGGGCGGATTGTTTACCTCTAGTGGGCGGATTATTAATATAAACGCACCTTACCAGCTGGTGGCGGTAGTGCTACATTAAGCTCTTTTCTAAGCACCACTAACATGTATTAGAAGAAGAAGAGCCAGAAAACAACACACAACCAAAATGGATGACCTCGTTGCTTTTTTTTTTTTTTGCCCGTCCTGATCGCTGTCCCGCAAGATGGAGAGCAGGGCCGAGGTGTCAGAGATGCTATGATGGAGTACCTCATGAGCTGTAACTTATCCTAATTCCACCCCTTAATCTTTTTTTACCTCCCCAGCCTTCCTTAGATACAAGTGAACGTTAAAGTGTTGATTTGAAAATAAACATGGATTAATAATTATTCTTGTTTGTTTTTTTAATGTACAGACATGCCTTATTACCAGGTTCGTGTAAAAATGGCAAAACAAACACTGCTGCTGTGCTTCTATCACATATGCTGCATTTTTAGCGGCTGTAGTTTAAAAAAAACTGTATACTCTTTAATTTTTGTTTTTAACAAAGAACCAAAACCTACAACAAGAACTTTATATTTGTTTATGCATATATACATT